GGGTGGCCATGCTGCTCACCGTGTTCTGCCTGCGCCGCGACCGCAGCGAGCTCACCTTTTCCCTCCAGGTGGACGCCGACTTCGAGCTGCAAAACTTCCGAGCTCTCTGCGAGCTGGAATCCGGTATCCCCGCGGCCGAGAGCCAGGTCAGGCCCTGCCCGTCGACGGGCCCCACCTGAGGACGGGGAAAGGGCTCGGTCGTTACCCCCTCCCCCCCGGGGTTGGGGTCCCCTAGACTGGGAATGGCTGTGCCCACCTCCCCCACGCTGGGGCTGTGTCCCCTGTCAGTCCCCAGGGCTTTCACCCCGTCGGATCCCGGAGTTTGGGGTTATTTAGGGGGCGGAGGGTGCACTCCTCGCGCCGACCTTTCGGTTTTGGGGAGAAACGCGTCCTTTCCTCCTCAGAATCCTCATTTTCCCCTCGGGAGAGGACTCTGGGTCCCTCAATGTCTTACAGGCTCCCTCCGGGAAAGGCTTGGTCTCCTTCCGTGGTGAAAATGAAAAGGAGAAGGAAATGTGTTGGTTTTGGGGGTTTTCCCTGAGTTTTCAGAGGAATTTGGTGTCTTTACAAAGAAAGATTTGGAGCGAGAGGGATGGGAGCCGGAGAGCAAGGAAGGTGACGGCCCGAGGTATCCTCAAACCCCAGGGAACAGGGCTGAAATGTTCAGGAAAGGGTTTATTTATTGTATCAAATTCCTGCCTGCGTCTGGGGCGGAAAGGGCAGATTGAGCCTTTCCCCCCTTTTTTTCTTACAGGTGCGGTGACCGAATGCTGTGTCTGCATGATTCCCCCAGCAAAGATCCTCCTCTGGCCCGAATTCGGGGCTCGCTCGTTACGAGCGTGCCAAAACACACGACAGGCTGCGGTGCGGGGGCGGCTCTCGTCCGTCTGTCCGTCCGTCTGGGGTTTACTCACAGTTTTGGGTTCAGTCCCGCTTTTGGGGTTTTTTTTATTTTGATTCCTACCCGTTTATCAGCAGGGCGCTGTCAGCTCCTTTTGCTGGGGCGCTGGCTGCACCTGGCAGAGTTTGGGGAGTTTGTGGCTGTCGCTTTTGCTTCCCGAGCCTTTTTTCCAAGTCTAAACTAATAAAATCTTTTTCCACTTGAGCACACGTTAGTCAGTGATGGAAAAACGGCTGAACCAGCAGCGGTCCCTCACCCAGCAGGTCCTCAGTGCTTCACCCACGGTGTTTTGCTTTACCTCTGCCTTCGGCGGGCCTTTTATTCTGGGATGCGTGCTTGGTTTGGAGGGGGAAGATGTCACCAGAGCTGGCTTAGAAAATCAAGGTTAGGTAGATTTTTTTTTTTTAGAGGAGAAACTCTTGATTTTTGGTCAAAAGCAAGAAACCAGCTCATGTAAAGTTTCCCATCTGCTTCACACCAGCGAACCCCCCGTGTCTGTGTCACAGCCGGGAATGGGGACAACCTCCGCCTTGTCGTCAGCTTTGCCCCCCTTGCGTCACGGTACCCCTGCTCTGGGTCTATTTTAGGACGATTTGGGGTCACAGATTTTTCTGCTGATCTTTTTGCCGGGAGTTCCCTCGCTTTGTGTTTTTGTTCCACTGGAATTAAAGTGCTGTGGAGTTTTGCTGTTGTATCGGTCGCAGGTAACGGGGATCAGTGCTGCGCTTTCTGTAACCACCTCTGCCTGCCTTCTGCTTCCTTTGTTTTAAAGTTTTTTAGCCACGAGTTTATTGTTCCTTTCTCTCCAGTGTTTGTGAAGTGTTTTGAGGACCATCAGTGGGGAGAAAGTTATAAAAATACAAGTTATTGGTGAAGCAGCTTGTTGTGTAGAAGGATTTTTGCGTGCTTAAACCATCCTCCAGAAATAGGCAGTGTTACGTTTACCAAACTTGCTGGTTTACTGCCACTTTAACGCAACGTACGCCTTGGTTATGGAAAAAGTGGCACAAAGGAGAGGATGAATGTAATGGTAAGGGCGGGGTGAGCCATTGCTCCGTGTGGAGGAGGGTTAATCTCAGTCGTCTTCTTTGCTTTTTTTTGTGGGTGCTGCAGTTTGGGGTGGAGGTGAGCAGGGCGCTGCAAGGTTCGTGAGGAACGGCTGCGGCTGCAGGGTGGGGAGGGCAGCGTGAGATAAAGGAGGTGGCTGCTGGTGATAAGAGGAGCTGGGTGAGGAGAAGGGAAATAATTCGGCTCGCTGCCGGTTCCTCCACGCACCGAGGCCGTGGCTTTTCTGGAGACTTTTTCTGGCAGCACCGTTATTTCCTTCGTTTTGCTTTCTTTATGTGCCGTGTGTCTCCTGTCCTGGGCAGTGCACAGGAAGATATGACAGGTTCTGGGTTTGGATTGCTTTATGGTTTGATTTTTGGGTTCCTTGCTCCATGAGAAGGTTCTGCCCTGTGGCACAGTGCAAAATCCAGCCATGGTGCGGTATCGGTGCCCACGTCCCTGCCCAGGTCGCCTCTGGTACCTGGCCAATGTACAAGCACCATTACACAAGCATACTACAAACCAGATAATCAAAACACGGCAAAATGAAATCAGCTTGTTCCAACAGCAGAGCAGGACGGGTCAAAAGTGCATTAAGCTGTGCTGCTGATGGATGTAGAGTGAGCGCCGGGCGCTTAATTCATTGTCTGAGGCGCTAAGGCCGAATGCTCATAAATCCAATCGCAGCCAGATGACAGAGGTAAAAGCTCACTTAAACTGATTAAGTTGTCTCTTCTGCAGCGGCTGCGCAGGGAAGCTGCCAGGTGAGCTGTGCACGTGCAGTGGGATTTATTACGAGCTTTCTCTGCGGGCGGCGACGTTCCTGAGTCAGGCTGGGCAGGACGCGTCCTGTGACCCGAGAGGATGCGCTGGGACCCTTCCCAGCACAAGCGAACCTTGATTATGCCGGTAATGTCTTGCAAACCATCAGAGTAAGAGTTAATTTAGGTTGCAAACGGACCCGTGTTTGCTTTGGAAGGGACCCAGTCTGGTGCAATACCGCTGAGGCTGTTAATTGTGCCGTTAATGAGGAGGTAGGAAGCTCGTGCTTGTTGCTAATTGTGTGTCTCTGTTTCTGAGAGCTCTGATTGCTGGAGTGCGTCGTTCTTACCATTTTTGCTTTTTCTGTTTTGTCTTACTTCAACACCACGGCTCTCGGAGTGCATTAGTGAGATTCTGTGCAATGTTTCTGAGTTGCTGCAGTAAAGCAGTGAAAGTAGCATCTTCCAGACCTTAAGATGCGTGGTAATTTTTGGATCTTCTTTTTGGATCTGCTGCCTGCAATAGCGTCAGGTAGAGCCGTAACCCATCCAGGCAAGGGCTGCAAAAGCTGCTCCCACGCGGCTTTGCCAGTCCTGACCTGTGGCAAACCTGTTGTTGCTGAGCCAGCCTTTTCCAGACCTGGGGAGACGCGGGTCTTGCTAAACGAGGTGGTGAACGTGGAATTGGACCGTGTGCCCGAGGGGTTTAGGCTGAGTTCTCCGACGCCTCTTGGTTTGGGCTCCTGCCAGGG